TTGACCAAGAGTGTGGAGAATCGCTTGCATTTGAAGAGGAGGCTTTACCGCTTCCAGTTGAAGAAAGGAACCTCCATTGGTGATCACATGAACCACTACACGAAGCTTCTTGCGGATTTGACGAATGTAGATGTGGTGATTGAAGATGAGGACAAGGCGTTGTTGTTGTTGAGTTCCTTGCCCGACGAGGAATATGAGACCTTCGTTCTTACTCTTATTAATGGGAAGGCATCTCTTTCGTATAGTGAGGTCACCGCTGCACTTGTGAATTATCAGCTTCGAAAGAAGGATAAGGAGACTTCGTTTGAGCCGGTAGCGGGGGCGTTGGTCGCAAGAGCAAAGGGTCCAAACCGTAGTGGGAGGTCGCAGTCTAGAGGGGCACATCTTGGAGTTCGTAAGAATCAATGTGCCTTTTGCAAAGAAGATGGACATTGGAAAGCCGATTGCCCAAAGTTAGTTGATCGAGCCGGGAAGAATAAGGGAAAAGCTATTCAAGCTTCAGAGGCGAATGTTGTCAAGGCTAGTGGCAACGATTCAGATTCGGATTCTTCGGGCTACTCGTTATCTGCACTGCCGTCAGTTTGTGTTGCCTACTCTACAGAGTGGATATTGGATTCGGGTGCTACATACCACATTTGCCCTAGGAGGGATTGGTTCTCCAGCTTTCAGGAGTTGGAAAGAGGGGATTTCGTGCTCATGGGGAATGATCACAAATGCTCTATTGGTGGTATTGGTACTGTTCGGATCAGGATGAGTGACGGGGTGATTCGGGAGTTGGTTGGAGTGAGGTTCGTTCCTCAGTTGAAGAAGAACATCATTTCACTTGGAGCTTTGGAGGCAGCTGGCTATAGGGTGACCTTGGCGGATGCACGCTTGAAGGTTACATTTGGGTCCATGATTGTGATGAAGGGCGTCAGAAGAAGAAATTTGTATTATTTGCACGGAAGCACGGTGATTGATAGGGAAATGACGACTTCATCAGATTCGGCTAGACTGTGGCATTGTTTGGTGCTGGGGTATATGATTGGTAATACCGTGCATTGGTTGTTGAGGAGTGCTATGACCTGCAGATTGAAGTCCTGTGAGCACATTAGGATGAGCGAGACCGTGGTGGAGTTTGGCACTTCTATCCATCGAGCGAGGGGTCTTTTTGGAGGTGTTCAGTCAGGCATTTGGGGGCCTTCCAAGGAGGCATCATTGGGAGGTAATCGTATCTTGGTTTCCACAGTTGGTGATTGTTCTAGGCATTATTGGGTCGCGACCAGTTCCCGTTGGTGTAAAGTCCTAGAAGTCAACAACAATTGGAAGAAGTGTATTGGCAGAAAGGTAACTCATTGTTTCAGCTTTGGTAGGGGTCCTTTCTTGCGTTGGTGCCGAGCTCACGGCAATAGGAGACACTTCATTGGTGTGGAGACTTTGGGGCGACGAGATGAGATGACAGTTTCGATGGGTCGTTCCTTTCTGGAGGAGGATCGGCGTTTGATGTCGAGCATTGGCATTGGTGTGCGGGCTTCGACATATTTGGGTCATCTTATGCATAGGTCGCCGACTGCTGCTTTAGGAGTTATTAGATCTGGTGGAGCTGCTTCAGATTTTGGGTCGCGTCGGATATTTGGATACCCAGCATTTGGTCACATCGTGGATGTGAGATTGGATCCGATTGCGCGTTTGGGGTTCGGAGGCTCAGTTGATTATCGTTTGGGAGCTTCTGATTTTGTTCTGAGCAGGTATGTCACTTTTGACTCTCGGCAGGTGGAGAGTGTTGATCAGGTCATTTGGATATCGCAGCAGGTGGAGAGTGATGCTACTCCACGTTGGGTGGAGATTACTCCACATACTCCAGATCATACTGCGTCATTTGGGATTCCAGCTAAGGTGACACAGGTTGGAGATCATTTGGTTTTGGATGCAGATGATGGATTGGTTTTGGATTCAGTTGCAGCTGGTAGATATAGTTTGGATATGGCCATTGGTTTACCTCAGGTGGAGGTGTTTGATTTGTCTCAATTTGGGGTCATTGGGAATACTATCAGTTGCAGATCGTTTGGTGATATTGGAGAAGAGTTGCAGACTTTTCTATTTGATTGAGGGCCTTTGGAGGCCGTTTGGGTGAACTACGTGAAGGCTTGATTCCTTGGGCAAAGGATACGTAGGCAGTCATTTTGATGCAGCCGATTTGGTGAGCGACATCGACATTTGGGGTGAGTGTTCACACTCTCATTTGGGTCTCAGCATGTGAGGCATTTGTTTGGTTGGTGTCGGCTCAGTTTTGGGAAAACTTCGCCGAGGTGGAGAATTGTGGAGAAGAATTGGAAAAAGCAGATTTTTGGTCATAAGTCGACTCATGCACAGACATAAGTCGACTTATGGTAAGTCGACTTATGTTGGTGCATGAGTCGACTTACGTTCTGTTCTGGATTGTTGGTTTTCGCTCTGCCAAGTCGACTTATCAGGTCTGATAAGTCGACTTATGATCTCTTCTCCAGTTGTTGTTTTTCGCTCTGCCAAGTCGACTTATGCAGACTGTTAAGTCGACTTATGACGGGTTTTTTGGAAAGTTAGAGTTCCTATTTGCAGTCTGTTTGGGTTTCTGTTTTGGTATAAATACCAATACGATTTGAGGGTTTTGTAGGAGCAAATCTGGGGATTTTGGAGCACAGAAAAGAGAGATCTTTCTGAGCTATTTGTTAGGGTTATTGGTTGAGAGTTTGAGAGATTTGTTGGTGAGATTAGTTGGTTCGTTTGAGCGATTTGTAATCTCAATTTGTACTCTCCTTCTCTATTAGTGAAAACCCACCCCCCTTCTTGCCCCGTGGACGTAGGCAATTGCCGAACCACGTAAAACTTTGGTGTTTGTGTTTTGTTTGGTCTTTCTCTCGGCGTTTGTTGGTTTGGTTTCTCAAAGCATCATAGTTGGTTGTTTGTTTGGCTTCCGCTCCGTGCACAACAAAGCCGACATACGTTGTCAAAGCAAAAGCAAAAGCAAAAGCAAAAGATGATGACCATCCACTAATCTAAATTTCTTGGAGTTTTTCGTCTTGGAACAAAATGATCCATTAAAGAATGAAATGATTGAATTAATGGGTCTAATCCTGGCATGAAGCTACCGCTGCTTTTACCAATAACGAGTACTCTAGTGCACATGACGAGTACATGATGCAGAGCGTTAGAGAGAGTTGTATTCGGATTGCCAAAAAACAAGAGCAATTTATTATTATTTTTCTTTTATTTCTTTTTTATTTTTTGAATTTCATTAATTGTGAGCGCATTTTCGTTAATATCCTCAAGAGCAATGGCATTTTAGTAAAGTTCCTAGCAAGAGATCATACTCGTTAATTTTTCAAGTTTATGGGTATTTTTATAGTTTTTTACATTTGAGGGTATTTTCAGATTTTTGAAAATGAAGCTCACATGACGCAATAGATGACTTTCTTTAAACGATAGTAATTGATAATGAAAATATTATCCAATTGAGTCACCAAAAGAGTGAGGAAGGAAGATAAAGATTAAGAAGACAAGCATCAAATATTTTTGGGAGATTAAAGTTTTCTTCATCACTAGCTAGAACCTTTTATCATTTATCATTATCAAGAAAGTATCTAGTATAAAGACCGTGAAATATGCGATGTAGGACCAACAAAAATTTGGAAACGTGTAGTTAAAGGGACCATCTAGTTAAATTTGGTTCAAATAGGAAAAAACAATTCAATCGTCTAACGATATATACTGAAAGCAAAGTTTTGTTAGTACTATGTGCTGTCAAAACAGGAATATAATAAGAATATAAAATCCAAATTAAAGAGTTAGAAAATTCAGGCCTGATCGGGAGCAGTCGTGATGTTACTGCCCTAGAAGATTGAGGACCCGCCTATCGCCCTGGCGCAATCTGTCCCCTCTCCCCTGGCCGTAAAAACCCCCGGAATCGGCCGGCCTCTGCGCTCGGACGTGAGTCACAAAGCTTATGCTCAAACGAAAACGGTTGACCAAAAAATATAAATGTAAAACTGTAGCCGAAGTAACTTGGGAGAAAAGAGAGTGGAGAAAGAGAGGTTTGTTTTTCTCGTTGTTGTTGTTATTCTGAATGAGCCCCACGACTGCTTATATAAGTGAGGAGAAGAGTAACCCCCGCTGAATCCAAGGAACCGTTACGTACGAATTCTGCTTCCGTTACCCGCATGCAGCCGTTACAAAGCGTGTAAAACGTACAAAAATAAAAGCTTGAGAGGCAAAAATGTGTGCGTGCGCGCACGAGGCGTGGCGTGCGTGCGCGCACGTGTGAGATAGATATGCAAAGCCCACAAAAACCAAAACACTATTCGAAACCCAATAAGGAGAGAACCATTATATACCCTATACTATTCATATCACTGCTAAATAATGAGGTATCCTAGACGGAAAATTCCGTCTAGGATACCAAGAATTCCGTCTAGAATGTTTATTCTAGACGGAATTCCGTCTAGAATACGCGTCTAGTATGTTTCCGTCTAGGATGTAGTATTCTAGACGGAAATTCCGTCTAGAATACAACCTAGACGGAATATTCTAGACGGAAATAAAAACCGTCTAGAATACATCCTAGACGGATTATTCTAGACGGAATTTCCGTCTAGAATGAGTATTCTAGACGGAAATTTCCGTCTAGAATACTCATTCTAGACGGAATTTGATGTTTTTTAATTTTTTTGTTAAAAAGACATTCTAGACGGAATTTGAGCATCCTAGACGGAATTTCCGTCTAGGATACTGTGCTACAGTTTTTTTTTTTGTTGTTGTTGTTGTTGTTGTTGTTGTTGTTGTTGTTGTGTGAACCTACTCAGTGGATACCATAAATACACCTACAATATAAGATATTTCCTCAATACTAATATCAAACAAGATATTAGTGCCACTATATATCTCAACAGAAATGTATAAATCCCGGATGAAAAAGGATCAAATATAATGGATAATTCACTTCAAATCCATACAAAAGAAATTCCTATAACAAATTGGATCAGCGTTAGTACAGTAAAAAAAGAAAAAAAAAGCTAACAATGTTCAAAAACCCTTAATAACCAAGTAATCAAAGCACATAGTTAGCCTAAACCATGCATTTAGCCTAATGAAAAGAATCCATTGAATCTCTCTGTACTTTCTGTGAGGCCATAATGGAGTACCAATTATTTTCTCTCCTTTCCTCTTTAAATAATCTCTTGATGGATGACACTCACATAGCTGATGAAGAAAAATCAAAGAAAACCCTCTGTAATGCATCCAATCAAACAGAAGAATAGCCATTCATTTCAAAACTTTCCAACCTTCTGTAATCATTCAAAGTATCACCTGTTGCGCGCAGCGGAAATTTCGGCAGCACTTCGGCAGCACAACAAGAGAGTCAGCTCGCAATAAGAATTCCCGTCTCACCAAGGAGACAAGAATTTGAAGCGGATATCTCAACCAAGTGAGATATCGGCTCTTCCTCTCATCAGTTCTAGGACTGACCTGTCGAGGGATCCTAAAAGCTATTACAAATCACACAAAAGCAGTACAAACCAATTTTTACGTGGTTCGGCAAATTGCCTACGTCCACGGGGCAAGAAGGGGGGAGATCTACTAATAGAGGGAGATGATATAAATAGGGTTACACAAGAATCTCACAAATAAAACCCTCACACAAACTCTCAAATCCCTCACAAAGCTCTCTCAAAATTCGCATGCACAAACTCTAAACAAAAGAAAAAAAACTCTGTTTTTCTTCACTTGAGTTTTTCTCCTGCTGCGATTTTATCTCGCAGCCGCCAAACACACCCAGCCGTCTGCTTTTTCGCACCAAGCCGCAAAAATCAAAAACCCTCCTTCGCTAGCAATTAACCTAGGGAATCACGACTATTTATTTGGGGAATCACTGAAGTTCGGGTGGGCCTGGCTATCGGGTGTGGGCAGCTGCTGCTTCACGAGATTTTCACAAATCTCTTCACGTAAATGCTTTGCTTGGAGGCCCCCACAATCACGTGTTCACAAGTGGTATCAGAGTCCAGATTTCAGATCTAGGGTGTTTTGGATTAGGTGAAGGAAGATTTTGTGTGAAGCTTGGTTCTTAGAGTTCTAGGCTTCGGTGGAGATAGCATTAGGAGTTGCCATTGGAGATTTTGCTTTCCTCGTGTGGATAGGAGATCTATTTGGAATCCGATCTAGGATTCGGTTGGGTGGTTCCTAATTCTGTCAAATTTGTTCTTTCTCTACAATTTGGAGTTAGTTTGCAATGGGAGAAGAAGGTGAAAGCAGCAAATCGATGGCGGGTACAATACAAGTTGGTTTTCAAAACACCAAAATTAGTGTGGTGAAATATGACGGCAAAATCAACTTTGGTTTGTGGATGAGCGACGTACAGGATGCGCTCAATGCCACTTGTACATATTCTGATATTGAAATCTGCATATGAAAGTTAGTGCACACAAAATATAAATTGTTATCATCAAAACATTATCATGGAGAAATGATATTCAACAATACTTACCGCCTGTGACAAATCTGGCCTCGTACATACCATCGCGTACATCAAGCTCCCAACCGCGCTCGCATATGGAGTCTTCGACATCAACTCACGATCTTCAACTGACTTCGGTGAGAGACCAGCTGAAAGCTTCAAATGGGCTCCCAATGGTACACTAACTGGCTTCGTATCCATGCTAACATGGAATCGCTGTAGAACTTTCTTCAAATAAGCCACCTGTGTCAAACAAATTCTGCCATTTTTCTTGTCTCTGCCGATCTCCATCCCTAAAATGCGCTTCGCCTCGCCCAATTCCTTCATCTCAAACTCATTTGAAAGCTGAACTTTCAACTCATCTATAGCCGACCTGGAAATAGAGGCAACCAACATGTCATCGACATAGAGCAACAAATAAATATACGCACCTCCTTTCAACTTGCGAAAATATACGCAAGGATCAAACTGGCTCCGAGTGTACGAATGACCAAGCATAAAACCATCGAATCGCCTATACCACTGTCGAGGAGACTGCTTCAAACCGTATAGCGATTTCTTCAGTTTGCAAACTAATTTTTCTTTCCCTGCAGCTCGGAATCCCAATGGCTGAGTCATATATATTTCTTCATCAAGATCACCATGAAGAAATGCCGTTTTCACATCCAACTGATCTAATTCCAAACCATACTGTGCCACCAAAGCTAGCAAAATCCGAATCGAAGAATGCTTCACCACCGGAGAGAAAACCTCATTATAGTCAATACCTTCCTCCTGTGCATAGCCCTTCGCAACCAACCTAGCCTTGAATCTCAACGGAGTGCCTTCAATGCCCTCCTTCTTCGTGTATACCCACTTGCAACCAATTGCTTTCCGCCCCTTTGGAAGCTCAACAAGCTCCCATGTATCGTTCTTATGAAGAGATTCCATCTCCTCCTGCATAGCCACCTGCCACGAATCAGCCTCCGAACTCTGCTCGGCCTCTCTGAATGTAGTAGGCACTAACTCATCGATACTCTCCACCGGAAGTGCATACGCAACTGTGTCGGCATACCGTGCTGGCATCTGTATGTTTCTCCTCTGTCTCCTAGCCGCAATAGAATCCTGAACCTGAGCCGTCGGTTCCTGATCCTGCACATTTGTACTCGTATCCTCCGTGTCATCGTCGTGCTCGCCTGGCGTCACCTCAGTCGGCACCTGCATGGATACTGTACCATCTGGACAATGTGGAGCTGCATCGATCTCCACCACCTGCGATATCTCCTCCGTCGGGTCGCTCTCCACCTGATGAGAGCTGGGAAGCTTCAAGATAGAAGCCTCATCAAATGTGACGTCCCTACTCAGAACAATCTTTTTATCAACTGGATCCCAAAGCTTGTATCCCTTGACACCACGCTTGAATCCTACAAATATGGCCTTCCTAGCTCGAGGTTCCAATTTATCAGTTCTAACATGATAATATGCAGGGCACCCGAATACCTTGAGCTGGTCATAGTCATGTGCTGGCTTTCCCGACCACATCTCCATAGGGGTTTTCCCCTCAATCGCAGATGAAGGCAGCCTATTAATGAGGTGGCTCGCATATGTAAGTGCCTCAGCCCAAAAGATCTTCTCCAAACCACTCTGCGACAATAAGCATCGGATCTTCTCCAGTAAAGACCGATTCAACCTCTCTGCCACCCCATTTTGCTGCGGTGTATGACTAACTGTGAAGTGTCTCTCTATGCCCTCGTCTCGACATAGCTGCTGAAAGGGGTCAGAAGTATACTCACCACCGTTGTCGGATCGCAACGTCTTGATCTTTCTCCCAGTCTGCAGTTCCAATCTCTTCTTCCACTCCACAAACAAATCTAGGACTTCACTCTTCTTCGTCATGGTGTACACCCAACAACGCCTAGAATAGTCATCTACAAAAGTGACGAACCAATGTCTACCACCAAGTGATGCAGTCTTGGTGGGACCCCAAACGTCTGTGTGCACGTAATCCAGGATGCCCCTCGTCTGATGAATGGCAGTCCCGAACTTCACCTTCGTCTTCTTGCCAAGAACACAGTGCTCACAGAACTCAATCTTCCCACTCTTGGCTCCCTTCAATAGCCCCTGCTTGCACAATGCCTGCAGTGACTTTTCACCTGTGTGCCCCAATCTATAGTGCCAAAGTCTGCTCATGTCCGCTTCTGAAATAGCCGAAGCAACCTGGCCAATCTCGGTGCTTCCCTTCAGATAATACAAATTCCGATTGCGGACTCCCCTCATCACCACCAATGATCCCTTAGTAACCTTCGCTACAGCGTTTTCGAAAGTCACCTTGAATCCCTTCGCCTCCAAAGCTCCAACTGAGATAAGATTTTTCTTCAGTTGAGGAACAAATCTCACCTCCTTCAACTCACGGACTACTCCATCGTGCATCCTAATCCGCACGGTACCTATCCCACAAACGCCACAGGATTGATCATTTCCCATGACAACAACGCCCCCGTCGACTTTCTCAAAAGATGCAAACCAGTCTCGCCTAGGGGTCACATGAAAGGTAGCGCCGGAATCAAGCATCCAATCTGATGCATCCACATGGTTCACCTCCGGAGTAATCAGTAGAGAAAAGCACGAATCATCGGAATCATCGCCTTTCGCAATGTTCACCTCATTGGCCTTCGGGCCCTTTTTCTTGCTATTCTCCTTCTCTTTGAGCTTCGGGCAGTCTCTCTTCCAATGTCCCTGCTCCTTGCAGAATGCACATTGGTTCTTTGTTAGTTGGTGACGGCCTCTAGACTTTGACCTCCCTCTGTTACCACCTTTCGGATATGGGCTTCTACCTCTTGTCGACAAGGCCTCTCCTGAAGTACTAGCGCGGGAAGTCTCCTTATCCTTCCTCCTCAAATCGTAGTTCGTCAAAGCGTTAGTCACTTCACTATAGCTGATAGAAGATCTCCCGTTCAACAAAGTGAGCACGAAGGTATCATACTCCTCATCCGGTAAGGAGCCCAACAAAATAATCGCCTTGTACTCATCCGATATCTTCTCATCAACATTCGCCAAGTCCGACAACAACTTCGTATAGTTGTTCACATGAGCCGCAAGCGAGGTGCCTCTGGACATCTGGAATCTGAATAACCTACGCAGCAAGTGCAATCGGTTCTCAACACTCTTCGTAAGGTACTTATTGTTGAGAATTTCCCACATCTTCATCGCAGACGTCACCCCAATCACATCATACTTCAGCTCCTGTTCCAAACAGGACCTGATCACCCCACAAGCGTTCCTATTCATTTTCTCCCATACCGCCTCTTCATATTTAGGTGGCCTCTCATGGACCATGATGGTCTCTTCCAAATTCTGAGCATTGAGCGCATCCTGTACGTCGCTCATCCACAAACCAAAGTTGATTTTTCCGTCATATTTCACCACACTAATTTTGGTGTTTTGAAAACCAACTTGTATTGTACCCGCCATCGATTTGCTGCTTTCACCTTCTTCTCCCATTGCGAACTAACTCCAAATTGTAGAGAAATAACAAATTTGATAGAATTAGGAACCACCCAACTGAACCCTAGATCGGATTCCAAATAGATCTCCTATCCACACGAGGAAAGCGAAATCTCCAACGGCAACTCCTAATGCTATCTCCACCGAAGCCGAGAACTCCAAGAACTAAGCTTCACACAAGAATCTTCCTCCACCAAAAAAAAAACCCTAGATCTGAAATCTGGGCTCTGATACCACTTGTTGCGCGCAGCGGAAATTTCGGCAGCACTTCGGCAGCACAACAAGAGAGTCAGATCGCAATAAGAATTCCCGTCTCACCAAGGAGACAAGAATTTGAAGCGGATATCTCAACCAAGTGAGATATCGGCTCCTACTCTCATCAGTTCTAGGACTGACCTGTCGAGGGATCCTAAAAGCTATTACAAATCACACAAAAGCAGTACAACCAATTTTTACGTGGTTCGGCAAATTGCCTACGTCCACGGGGCAAGAAGGGGGGAGATCTACTAATAGAGGGAGATGATACAAATAGGGTTACACAAGAATCTCACAAATAAAACCCTCACACAAACTCTCAAATCCCTCACAAAGCTCTCTCAAAATTCGCAGCCACCAAAACAAACTCCTGCTGCAGCCGCCAATACAACCTTCTCCTGCTGCACAGCGCCCTGTTCAGCCGCCAAATATTAAACCTCCTGCAGCCGAAGAAATCCCAAGCCGACAAAACAAACCCTGCACTTGCACAATTCCCAAAACCCTAGAGACGGGTTTTTATATGCTTGTTTATCGGGTGGGCCTGTTCACACGGCTTCTCCTTTGTTCACGCGGAAACAAAACCGCGGACGTGCATCTGAAAGACAACAAGGCTCACGTGGGCGTGGTCCCCACTCCCCACTCACATCACCAACCACCAACACTCAATAATCTGCACCACAATGAATGAACATAAAAATAGAATCCTATGGCTTTGTGAATAAAAACAAAAGTTTATCAGAATCACATTTTCTTAAAAGACTTACCATCTTTCTTCTTCATGAGATTTCTAGCAAATAGAAGGCAGATGACTAGAAATCCAAAGGCTGCT